CCGTGGTGATGATCACTTGGAATTAAGAAGTGTTTCCAAACATCTTTTAATGTATTGTGCTCGCATGCCAGTTTCTGATCATTAATGATGTGTCTGTCTTGCTAATTTTCATTGCATTTAAAATCAGACATCCATGATGTGTTTGTTTCTTTCATGGCCAAAGTTGAAAATCTTTTTATGAGGAGTGATTTTGTCCGATCCGGTAAACAGAGGATACGTGGACACGTAGGCCGTGATTCAGCGTTTGATAACATCTCAGCACCACCTATCACTTCGGTGGGCTAAGCCACCTTGGGTGTCTCGGGGCACCTTGGCAATGACTGAGGTCCGAATGGTTTGGGATTGCCTAACATATCGAGGTGATGCGTGTCTGACCTCTATAGGCACACCAGCTGTCTCCGAGCTCTTCGGGATTGTGCCGCACAACCATAAGACTTATCCTCATCTCGCCTGGATCAAACGGACATAATAGGCCTTATTGCTAATATGCTATTCATTTCTCAGGGTGAAATTGACTCCTAACACCGTGAATCAAGGATATTGAAGGAGTATCGTGAGACTACGACAACCTATGTATATAAGGGCATCTACCAGAAGGTACGTACCATTATTTGCTTACTACCTCGATTGCCCTCAAGTATTTAGCTCGCTTACACAATCAATTACTAATTTAAGCATCAGAATGACCACACTGAATTAATCACCCCGAATTCTTTGAGCTTTCCTCCTTTTACAATTCAACTTACGAGCCAAACAATCGATGTTCAAACTACCAACCAAATGGGAGCACCTGATCACGCACAACCATCTTTTAATCTTATTCCAAAATTAAAATATTACATACTGATGGATGAGGTGAATTCTCTAGCACGCCTCCCTCCGCTTTTCTTGGTGGCCATGTAATCCATTAATTAATTACACACTAGGCCAGCTCTCCTTTTTCTGGGCTATAGCCTTCATCACAGAGGCTATATTCAAACAGTGCGCGCATACATTTCCCGCCACCGCGCCACGTTGTCTTTGACGAAATGACGAACACACATTCTTTTCTCTCAGTCTCACACCCTCTACTATTGATTATTGAACTGCCACCGGAAATTCACGGTTCCACTATCACAGCTTGGCTCCCAAATATACATGGGCCCAAAGATATTATTTGGCCCAGCAAATCCCCCATCATTCACACTATTACTCCCTCAAACTCTTTATCGAAGCAAGCCCCTCCTCAACGCTCTAGCAGCTGACTCGCCAAGGCCCACATCCGAGCCCATCATTTGTGAACTCACTACCATGTTCACAAATCGATCCCTCTGTCCCTTGATCCGTTTGACGGAGCCTAATGAGTAGAATCCTTGGATTAAATTCCTCCCAAAAATCTAACACCAGTTTAGTTGAAACAAACATCTTAAGTAGCAGTATCTCCTTGCTCTTTGTCAAGCCTTTCGAATGGATACCTTTGTATCCACATCTGAATGAGGATGAGGACCACTTAGAAACGCTTTGGGATCAAATCGGATGCATTGCTTGACGTCTGCCCCAAACAGGACTCGATCAATAAAGTGGCCTGTGAAACCTACACCAAGACCAACATGGTTCTGGTTTTGGTGAGATCAAGGCCAATGTAGAACATGGGAAAGATTGTGGAGAGACACCTCACACCTGCTGTGCAATTAGGTTCATTTCTGTTTTCTGATGATGTGGGTCTTGATGCCAACAACTGCAAAATCTTGTTCAACATCAAGCACCAGAGCCCTGATATTGCCTAGAGAGTTGACGGTCATCTCACCAAGCACTCTAAGAGGATTGCTGCCGGTAACAAGAGCCACATGTTGGGATATGCCATCGATGGGACCGTTGAACTTATGCCACGTCCTTGACACCAAGCTCGTAGAGGTGTGGATGAACGATTTAATGGTTAGGTTCTCCGTAGCCTCATTAGATGATTTAATGGTTGGATTCTTGGATTCTAGAAGACAACCATTCCTCCCCAAGTTTCTTTCCTTTTTCTTTTCAAAACCCACCAACACAGCAATACCACTGTCTTTTTCTCTAGTGGCAATCCATTGATCTTCCTTTGTCTTCTGTTCTCAGAAGCTAATGACCGTAGTTTTGTTTCTTTTGCTACTTTTGAGTACCACAATGACAATGGTGCCATGATTCCTATCCGCATCCACAATCCGACCCAGTCCAATGTGAGCCCATTTACAAATGGACTAGATTTAGTCCAACCTGATCCAGTCCAATGTGAGTCCATTTACAAATGGATTGGACCCAATCCAATCCAAATGAAATATCAAAAGTTTTATAAAAGAACTTTGCATTGAAAAAGCACTTTTGTAAAAGTACTTTGATAAAAATATTTTCATAAGTGTTTTTACAAAAACACTTTATTAAAAGTACTTTGTAAAAGTGCTTTTATAAAGGCACTTTTAGTAAAGTACTTCCATAGACTTTTATAAAATTACTTTTACAAAAGTACTTTCATAAAAGTGATTATAAAAGCACTTTTGTAAAAGTTATTTTGTAAAAATAATTTCATAAAAGTACTTTTATAAAAGTGCTTTCATAAAAGTATTTTTGTAAATGTGCTTTCATAAAAGTTATTTTATAAAAGTGCTTTTGTAAAAGTACTTTTATAAGAGTACTTTTATAAAAGTTTTTGTAAAAGTGATTTCATAAAAGTGCTTTCGTGTAAAAGTACTTTTATAAAAGTGCTTTCATAAAAATACATTTGTAAGTGATTTCATAAAAGTACTTTTTGTATAAGTGCTTTTGTAAAAGTGATTTTTATAGAAGTACTTCTGTAAAAGTACTTCCATAGAAGTACTTTTGCAAAATGTTTTTGTAAAAGTATTTTTATAGTGTTTTTGTAAAAATACTTTTCATAAAATTATTTTTATAAAAATACTTTTGTAAAATTGTTTTCATAAAAGTACTTTCATAAAAGTGATTTTATGCTAGCTTCAGTTTTGATTGATTTCAAATTGTATAAGGGTTTGGCCTTATGATCAGATTATTGAACCATCCAAATAATTACAATGGACCGTCCAAATCCAATTTGATAAAGTTTGAATCGAATTTGATCCAAACCAAAACCGATCGATTGACACCCCTACTCGGACTTTTTCTATTACAGTCTAAAAGCAGGCTCTGTTTTGGGTCTGTGTTTCTTAACTTACTAGCGTTAATTTTTTATTTCTTTGATGGTTTCCTATTTAGGAAAGATCACAAGAATTGAAACTAGTGGTGAGTTTTATTACAGATATTTTCTAGAGAGTGTTGGAGATAATAACGGCAGTGATGACACTGGKGATGGTTCATCCTCACCGTCATAGTCTCCCGGCCGTTTCTATTCCTAGAAAAAGGGAGTGATACAAGTAGTGGCTAGTGGGGTTGAGGGTTGAGGTTTGTAGTGATGGCACTATCTCTATGAAAATAAAGGTGGGGGGTAGGGAGGTCTAATAGAACTATATACGATTCTACCGTTGGTGGTTGGGGCAGTAGTAATGACTACAGCGGAGGTTTCATAGAAATACAGAGTTCCTCGAAGAGTATAATAAGTTAATTACAGAGAAAATACCAATTTTAGTAAATTTATATCTAAATGGATAACCGTAAGGGTGAATTTGGTATTTAAAAGGGAGGAAATTGTATGTTTTTTTTTTGAAATTATAAAGGAGGCTTTTATTAAAATCAAAAGACAAGAGATTTATATAATGTCAGAAAATTCAGAGGAGATTTTTATATTTTACCTTTTTTATTTTTTATAGAATCCAAATATAGGATCTTCAAAACTAAGGCATACAATACTAAATATCCTCTCCCTTCAGCCCTCACAACATCCAATCCCGTTGAACCTAGCTCCTATTCCCATGCCTCCAAACACATGGCGTTCTGCCATGGAAAAATAACTACAATCTCTACATCAACAATGGACGTAGACCCTGGTCCCTTACTGTAGTGGAATGAACCTTGTGGGTTGCAAGTGGTGTACCACTTCAAGCGCAACCCGACAGTTCTATCCACAGATTCAAAGTCAATCTTGTTGCAAAAGGCTTCTATCAATGCTTAGGAATAGATTTCATTGAAATATTCAGCCCTATGGTTAAGCATATTATAGTTGGCCACTTTGTCAATTGAACATCGWATATGCATTCTTGCATGATGATCTTCGAGAGGAGGTCTATATGGTTTAACCTTCTAACTATGTAGACCCCATACACCCTCATCATGTCTGCTGCTTGCACAAGTCCATTAACATACATTCTGCCAAAGCGAAAATTTCTCCCAAATCTCCACGGTGATGCAAACATATTGGACAAAAGCAAGAAAATAATACATCAACTAGGTAATGATTAATAGTTCAAAACCTAGTAAGAAGTGGTTTCTCTTTCTAATTAAGTGCCAAAAAACGAAAAAAAATACAAAAAAAAATAACAAAAATTAACACCGAATCAGATTTGTGGGGTTCAGGTTTTGGCTAGCCTGCCCTATCGAGTCATGATACCCTACATATATACAAAATATTTTTGTAACTTTTTTATTTCTAACTTTATAGCTTTAAAGTTTAAGATTTATGTATATATATGTTGGTTTTGATTTTTTTTTTCTTTTTTTTAAATGGGAAAAGTGACATCTAAGATTTTATAAAACAATTTCTTAACTTAGATTAATGGATTTTAGGTCTTCAAAATGTGTTAAAAAATATAATTGAAATGCTATGGATTAGATCGGATCGGTACGGGTTAGACCCTATAGGGTTGGGTTGGATTTGGGAATTTCATATTTTAAGGTGGGTTAGGTTGGGTTCAGGTTGAGCCACTATAGGGTCAGGTTAGGATTGAGGCAAACCCAACCCGTTGACATCCCTAATCAGGAAAGGGCAACTTAGACACGGGCTTAAGTTGGGATTTTGTGAAAATTTAAATGAGCCCAACCTGAATGTCCAAACACAAAGCAGTGTAAAATGCTAACTTGGACCAGTCCAATTTCTATCCCTATACTAACATTGAGCAATGGCTCTGCTATACATGAAATGGATCAATAAACCACAGATTTGACCAAAACCAACAAGAAACAACAAGTCCAAATACAACATCTAGATGGCCCACTAACAGGTCCATTTTACAAAGCTCAATAATCAAAACTAGCATAAAAAAGTCCAGCAACTTGCAATCGGATTTGAACACGAAAGAGGGACGTAGCTTCCCCAAATGACCATTGAATGATGCACCTTTGTGAGGTTGGTAGCAAAGTAGCTTTCATCTCCATTGCCATCCTGCATGATGCACGATGAAGAAATAATCATCAAAGGTCGCAACTTAGAGGATTCAATGATAAAATTGTTATTTGCATTTCAAATATTCCACTTCAAATAACAAAAAAATAAATGAAATCCATAGCATTAGAAGCAAAAAAGCATGCAACAATGCTCAATCCTATAAGCAAAGCAAGCCATAGACTAAATTAATTAGAAAAAACATCCTTTTCAAAAAGAGATCCAATGAAGATTCCAAATTAGCAGCTTGTACGTAGATCACCATCAATCGGAAGATGATGACTGCTTGATGGATAATTTGCAAACTGGGCAAGATTGCGCTAGAGCAACTCCTCTTTTACCCACAAGCTAGTCATCGGTGCATAATCTGCAGGTTTATTTAGAGAGAAGAACTAGATTGAAATAGAGCAGCCACAACATGGCTGCCATTCATTTTATTTTAACAAAGATAATTCCAACTTGTCTGGTGGGTTTTCTTTCCCTGAGATGTCTCACCCCACTAGAACTGACGTTGCATTCTAGCCATTTCGTTAAAGATTTTCTTAGGCACTAGAGAGCAAGTTAAAACATGTAATGGGACAGCTGTTATTACAGATTTGATTAATGTCTCCTTACTTGCTCGAGATAGAAATAATTCCTGCCAAGGTTAAGGATTGGTTGAGTTGCTTATTTTGTTATGAGAAAATTCCTAAATTATTCTCACACTTAAAACAAAGCTAAGGTTATTCATCGGGAAAATGATGAACATTTTCTCTGTTAGGACATGAAATACTTGTGCATAGATACAACTAAACTTTGTAATATATCTATTTTATATAAAGCTCTGCATTGTAAGAAACTAATGTTCAAGGAGTAAGTAAAAACATCACTTATACAAGGAAATTGACAAACCTGCACAAATAATGGTTGTAGAACTATGCACAACTGTCCACAATTGGGTTGTTCAAATAGAAAGTTGAAGAGGTTATTCATGCAAAACCTCAAGGAATTAGTGTAGATTCCTTGGTAAACAAGATAGTATCTTTGACCAGGTTATAGTGCATAATAGACAAGCTTGAATCCAGGTTATGCAATCATTCAATCATATTATTAACTGTATGGTGCAATTAGCCTTCTGATTGAAAAGCTTTTTCATCTTAAATAAGTAGCTATAATAATATTCTGATATTAGTAAATTGATGTAAGAATTTCCTTGGTTTATGATTTAGGACTACAGGTTTAGCTTCTCTCTCAAAACTTTCCTAATAAATTGAACAAACAAAATTAACAAGGCGGTAATCAAGGCGCAACCACCAAAACTTGTTTGAATCAGTCCACAAATGTACAAATTTTTGGCAGTAATCTAGATGCAAAATTGAAAATATGGATTGCAATAAAGAACTCTAAACTTTGAGATGAATGAATGAAACAGAGAATGAAATTTGGATTGACTTGTCTAGCTAGACTGAACAGCAGATAGTTTAGTGGTTTTGTCACATGGAGATTTGGATGGGGTAGAGTGTAGCAACTATATCATCATTATCAATTGCTACTCTTACTGTGCAGCAAATGTGCATTTGATATGGATACTTCTCTTCAAGATGGGTTGTAAGGTGTAACGTATTCCATGGTGAGAGCAAGAACAAATTGATAGTTGCATCTTACCCTAAATTATTGTATTTGCATTGGCTAATGACTAGGTTATTAGAGTAGCTTAATATAAAATCACTCGAACTTAGGTTTCAATATTGAAAATACTAACATCCCACTTGTAGTAGAAATGTAATGGAAATGCTTTACCTGGAAGCATGGTGCAAGAGTGGAAGAGGTGAGGGATTTCAATGTAGCCTTATTAATCTACTTATATATATACATATATATTAATCATTTCCATTCCTAATAGGGGTTCTCTTGCATGCTAAAGTATATAACAACCATTAGTAATGTAAGAGGTTGGGAAATGGTGGACTAGTTGGCTTTACTTTGTCATCTGGGTTATACTACTTTGCATTTCTTTTTTTTTTTTAATGATGTCAATCTACATATGAAGTGTACATTGAAACACAGGGTTTACATTTTGTAAAGTGTTGGGCATCTTGTCATTTCTCATTGATTAAAATGAAGGCTAATGTTACAAATCAACCCAAATAGAACTTATCCAAAAAGAATTTTACACAAATGGATAATTGACCTTAATGAAAAGGGGAAAATGAAAAATATCTCAAGCTAAGTAAAGCAGATGACCATCAGCCAGGAATCCTTGGTTGATGGGACTTGATTGGAGCTCCCATAATTTATAACCTATATATGCAACCTTGAACATACTAATTTCTAGGAGTCCAATTGCATGTTCCTGAATCTCAACAAGTATCATAGACAACAATTCTTATGTATAGATTAAGAATCCTAATATTATCATACAACTCATCAAAATAGATTTTTATCAGGTATGCGATTTTAGCAAATAAAATCGAAGGATACTTCTACACATAAAGATGGACAAAAGGGTGGATTTTGAATTTGTACTTTTCCTTGAAGAGAGATATCATGGAAGTAAACGCCAAAGCTAAAATTAAAATAGACTTCTTTTCGATTATTTATCATACCTATGTTCTTTTTGTAGAATATGATGCTTATGGATTAACCTCGCTAAAGATTTAAATATTTTTAATTTTGGTCATCAAGACATTCTTTTTGTTTGTAAGAGTATTGAGAATTTGTGTGGAAGAAGGTCCTCTATCTAGTAGATCCAATGTCATGCTATTGGTGCTACCCATGAAGAACTTAAGGGAGGCTTAACACTTGAGTTTTGCTTAATCCGCCGCCTAAACCTCCAATTAATCCTGAACACCCGACCAGACCATTCCGGTCACCCCAAAACACCAACAACCCAAAGAACCCAAATCCCCCCCCCCCCCCAAAAAAAAAAAAACCTTAAATCCACCATTAAATATACCCAATACCAATCTGATGGCCTTGATCAACCACTGTCTACACTTTGATCCTCAGATCAAACACCATCATCATACTCAAGAACATCCTAAAATACCTCTCCATAAAATTTCAGTTCAAAATTCATTCATTTATACTCTCATCAAGAAAAGATTTCATTTCGACCATTTTTGTTAACCTGAAATACCTACCACCTAGATCCCCTTGATCCAAATACATACTAGCCAATCAAACCACACTATTAAACTCCAGACACACTAAAACACCTGCCTATAAAGTTTTAATCCAAGATTCCCCCATTTACCCTTTCATCAAACCAATATTCCATTTTGGGTTATCCTATTGACCCAAATTCTTATGATCTTGACTCCTAAACCAATCAGACATTACCACCAGGTCCTCATACACCCTAACATATCTGCCTGAAAATTTTCAACCCAAAACACCTCTCTTTGCCTTTCCATCACACCTAGGTTCTATTTCAAAACCCTATATTGACCAAATCAAAGGGTCTTCTAAATCTGCTTGATCCAGGCCCAGTTTCACCAATATGATCTTGCCAATCAACCTGAAATGCTCAAAAACCCCACCCTATGAAATTTCAACCAAAAACACCCTATTTTCCCATCCATTTAAAAAAATTCTATTTTAGCCAATCTCATTAATACACACAAGATCATTAATACACACAAAATCGACCAAAGTTCCCTAAAATTTCCAAAATGCCGCTAGATTCCCTCAAAATTACAAAATTGCCATTATGCCCAATTATAAAACCAACCTAATGTTATTCATCAAGGGGTGGCCGAATTCACCGAGAATCGACTGTTAATCCCCTTTTGACTCGACATAGAGAACAACAACAGCGACAACCAATCTCCCTGATCTTTTCTTTGGTTTCTTCTCTCCCTTCACTTCCGATCCCTCATTCCTTCTCTCTTCCTCTCTTTCTCTTTTCTTCCCCTCTTCCTCCGCCTCCTACTTCCTGTGTTTTTTGGGATGACTGAAAATACCACCGCCGTTGCAACTTCTAGCAGCGGTCGTGATCTCTCTCTCTCTCTCTCCTCTATTCTCGTCATTTCTCTTTCTCTTCCTCGCCCCAACGAGCTAAGTCGTCAATCGTGGAAATGGCTGTTCATCACCTTCAACCCATTAACATACTGAACCAAAAGCAATGCCCATTCTCTCTTTCATTTTCACTCGATTCCAGCACGAATTTCATCATTTTCTAAACCCATTTTTCTTTCCTCCAATTCTTCCTTCATTGTTCTAACGTTTTTACTTTCCCTTTAGTCCCTTAAAACCAGTCACGGGTCCCTTGTTCTCAGCCTTAATCGCTTCAGAGGAGGCCATAGCAATAGTCATCACTCAAATCCATTATTTACTCGGTCCCTGGTTGCAACCTCCAGTCATCGTTGTTGCTCGAAGAAGGAAGTTAGGAACAATTGATATTCTCAATTCCCCCACCATGGTAATCAATCCCAGGCCATGATCTCCCATCTCTGATCACCGATCCTAGGCCGAAATCTACCCAAACATCGATTGTTGCAGCAACTCGAAGGAAGAGATCAAGAGTGATAAGAAGTCGGCTCCTCAGTTCATCGTGCGATTTCAAGCTGAGAGTCATCGTGCGATTTCCAGCGAGCATTTCTTCTCGCCACCCTCCCGTTTACAACCGTCGGTCTTCATATCTGGCCACATTCCTATTTTCTCTACGCCTGGATCTTATTTATTTTCTTGTTTTGCTCGGCTTTCTCTGTATTTGTAGTTGGGAGGAGAGAGACCGAGTTGTCTCAGGTCATGTACCTCTTGGTACCAACCCAAATTTATACTTGTTTTCTTTTCTTTTGTAGCTTTTTATAGTTATGTTCTTTATTGTTTTTCACTTCATGCTTAGGGGTAGAATCTATGTTACTTTGGAATTCTGTAATTACTCTTGTTATTTTTCTATATAAATCTAGTCTGTTGCAGTATTGCATCCTCTGTTATTATTATTATTATTATTATTTTTTTGTCACCGATTGCTTTTCCTTTCCGAATTAATATTTTTGATATCATTAGCTACTTCTTTCAATTCTCTGATGTTAATGAATCGTTCTCTTCAGTTTTCTTTTATTATCGCTAGAGATTTAGATCTCTCTTTAATAGGGTGCTTGAATGTTGAGAATCCTTATGAACCAATCTATTGTCCATTTTTTCTATCAACCGGTTTTATCACCGAGTATTGGCTTCTGTAAAAAAGACTGAAAAGAACAAAGGTGTGAATAAATGGAAATCCAATGACAAAGAAATGCATAAAAAAAATATAAAAAGGAATAAAAAGAGGGAGGTGGGCTGATGGTCGAGAAAGAGTTCTAGTAGAATGGTAAGAAAGGGAAAGGAAAATCTGTTGTGACAGTGGGAGTGATTGTAGTTAGGGGACAATAGTAGGGAAAGCAATAAAAAATAAATAATAAAAAAATAAAAAAATGGTAAAATCCATAAAAGGAGAAGTGGATAAATTTTAAGATAGAAAAGGATAAATTCAATCAATAGCGAAAAAATAATGATAATGGTAATAATAAATTAATATATATATATATATATGTATATATGAATAAAATAAAAAAATAATAAAAGAATGTGAAATTTACTTTTGATAAGATACTATGTGAGCCCCACCTGTCGGACACGGGAGAGGGGTGCCTAACCCCTTCCCTCTCCCCATCCAAACCTTACCCGGATTGGTTTAGTTGTTGCCTTAGTCTTTAGAGTCACTACAAATGAAAATGGTTTCGATTCCATTCTTGGAGGTCCCAATACCTCCATTTCACTTGACTAATGAGTGGCGACTCATTTTCTAAAACAAAGTGGACTTCTTTGTTGTAGAAGTATATAGTTTGTTATTGGGGTGCTAATTTTTGTTGCTTTGGTGTAGTTTTTAGTTTCCTTTCTATTTTTTCCCCTTTGTGTTTTAGTGTTGTTGAGTTGTTATGTTTAAATGCGGTCTGGTTGGTTTGTTGCATTGGTGTCATTCTCTTGCTGGTGTTGTGTTGGTTGGTTTGCTGCATTGGTGTGTCAGTGTCATTCTTTTGCTGGTGTTATGTTGTTGTCTTCTTGTTGTCTATTTTGTTTTTCTATGTTTAATAAAAATCTTTTCTAACAAAAGAAAAAAAGAAAATAAACTCATTTAAGGATGTCTATTTTTTACAATAAGATGAATTAATATTGTTAACATTGATGGTTTTACTAGACATAAATTCCTAGTACTATCACTTATGGCACTTGATGATAAAAGCTTAACTTCTTGGTTTCACAATTCAACACAATATAATTCAATTAATAGAGGTGTCCCTATTGTATTAGATTTATTTGGTGTTGTGTCAAACTTCTAGAATCATTATCGTGTAAGCTCATGGTATGCTAAGAAAGTTGCTAGCTAGAGAGATAGCCTATCTCTTCAAACATGACCGAGATAGAAAGCTGAGCAAACTTGGCATTAAGGATAGATGATGTTTTCTTCCATACAATTCAAAAGATAAAATTTCTTTTATTGTTTTTGTTCAAATGATTTTTCCAGTCTCTTTCTCATTTTCTAGAAGTCACTGGTTGTAATCTACTAATCTTTGCTTAACTACTTTTCAAGTGAAACATATATCAAATAATTGCCAAGCTCTATCTAACCTGGTCTTACCTACAATCCTCCACCCCAACACCCAAAGAATAGTGACGGTTAACAAACTTGACAAATTGACTTGTAATTTTCTTCTCCCTTGATGTTTGGTGTTTCTTTGTCAAAATGGTGATGCCCCATATATATATTTTTCTTTAGTGACTGTCCACAAAGAAGAGGTTGTCCTCATCAATGAAAATTTCCTTAACTGAGGTACAATATTACAAATGCAGATAAATAGATATAGATGTTTTTGTCCTATTTGGTTGGAACAAATAATAACAACCAAAGTTTAAAGGTTTGGAATTGGCTAAGCAGTATAACCGAAAGAAACTTTTCTTTAGGTGCACGTTAATCAATAGATTAAGAGGTATAGGTAAATGACTAATTATTTTGTTCTAAGCCAATGGAATCTATCAAAAACATAATATATATGTCCAAAGATTTAGAGCATTGGTAACTTACGGAGATTGTCCAGGGCAAAGTAGTAGCAGGAAGTGATACAAACATCAACGAGATAAAACCACAGGCGTCGCCAATAGGGGTTTATATAGAAGACTGTAGCCACACCCAAGAGCACTACAATGTAAGAAGCCACAAAGCTCACAATGAAGGCATCCATGTCAATGGAGTTATTGCTTTCATCTTGATCATTAGAAGCTGGACCCGTTGGTGATGGTTCCCTATTCTCACTAGTGCAATTCTTCTCTAATGGCTTTCCACAAAGAAGAGGGTTGCCTTCGTAACTGCTTTCCCCAAATGTCGCAAACTGGCCTTTCCACTCTGGAATCTTTCCTGATAAGTTGTTGTGTGCCACCATGAAAGTGGACAGAGAGTATAGCTCTATCATCTGTGGAGGAATGCTTCCAACCAAATTGTTGTAAGAAAGATCCAAACTCTCTAATTGCTTTAGGTTTGAAATTGTTGTTGGGATGTGTCCACTTAGGAGGTTGTGGGAGAAGTTCAGTGCACGGATCTCATATAGCTCTCCAATTTCAGGTGGAATGTCTCCCGCTAATTGGTTACACGAGAGATCAAGTCCCAACATGAGTCCGAGAACAATGCCCGTGTAAACATCATACCTGCTTTTTGTGGTGAACTCCACTTGTTCTTCGGTCCTTTCATTAGTGTTATAAAATTGACTGGATTGATCTTCAAGCCTACTCTTGTATGTATAGATAAATTGAAACAAATTTGTAACATCCATCCCATAACCTTTTTCAAATCTAGCATCTATTCCATCATGTATATATCCTTGCCCTTTAAATGTTAAGTTTTTCAAGCAAGAAGGTATAGGACCAGAAAGATTATTGTGAGAAAGATCCATTATATTTATTCTTTTCAAATGGCATATCTGGATGGGAATGTTACCTTCCAATTGATTTCTTTTCAACAGAAGAGCTCCCAATGATAAAAGATTACCAATCCATGTTGGTAGGCTTCCATTTAGCAAGTTATCACTCATGTCCAATGTCACCAGACTGGTGCTTTTAGAAAAAGCTTCTGTCATTGGTCCTTCTAGCTTGTTCTTCTCAAAATGTGCATATCTCAGTCCCCTTGGGCTGAAGCAAGATGGAACCGCGCCACTAAAATAGTTGTTGGAAAGATCTATAGCTGAAAGTTTTCCAAGTGCACAGAAGCTAGCTGGTAGTGCTCCTTCAAGCTGGTTGTTAGCCATGATAAGTACCTTTAAGTATGATAAGTTCCCAATCCACCCAGGAAGCCTACCAGTGATGTTGTTATTTCTTACATTCAATAATTCCAAGGCAACGTTTCTGGACAAGCTGTGTGGAATGTTTCTTGTAAATTTATTTCCATCCAGAAATAAGTGCCTCAGACCAGTCAGGTTAGAAACTATTGGAAGCATTTGACCGTGCAAATTGTTATTTGACAGTTTGAGAGAGTATAGCCTGGAGCATCCGGTGACCAAGTGCATTGGAATTTGTCCTGATAAAGAATTGCCAGAAAGATCCAAAAGTTGCAACCATCTCATGCTTCCAATGGATGAAGGAATTTTTCCTATAAAAGCATTTGATGGCATTTGCAATGCTACCAAGTTAGGAAAGATAACTCCGATATTATCTGGGATTTGACCATGGAGATGATTACCGGAAACAATTAGAATAGACAAATTCATACAGGAACGGGATGGAAGAACAAGAGTGCCTGTAAAGGAGTTATTTTTTAAATGCAATACCTCTAATCCCGCATTGTTCTCAAGCAACCAAGTGGGGAATTGTGTACTGTTAAAATTGTTATAATAGAGGCTAACCACTCTTAAATCAAATTGGTAGTGGAGGAAATTGGGCATTAGACCAGGTGGTTTGTTGAATGAGAATCTTGCTAGGTATAAGAATTTCAATTGATATCTTGGAACTAGAAATGGAAAGTCAGTTTCCACTTGAAGAAGTTGGTTGTTATCAAATCGGAATACTTCAAGTTTGGATAAATTAGCTAATGTATTAAAGGAAAAATAACCTTGGAAGCGAATGCTTGAAAGATCAAGGTATTCAAGTGAGGAGAGACCACGAATGGTAGATAGGACAATGTTTCCATCGAATTGGTTGTAAGACAAATCCAACACCCGAAGGCTCGTCAAGTTTCCCAAACATGAATCAAGATCACCTACAAAGCCATAATTATTCTCATAATTCCCATCCAGCTGACTGAGATCTAACTCCTGGAGTTTGTTCAATTTGCACAACCCTGCAAATTACACATCATGTCATCATGTCATATATTAATCCCAAATCCAAAGACGTACAGTCCCCCACAGTACTAGGTAAGAAGTCATACCTTTACATGGTAGCCGAGTGCCATTGAGTCCTTTAATATTAGCCATCCTTAAGAACTTAAGAGAAACCATTTCTCCTATATTCTGGAGAAAATCATAGCTCAGTGTACTACCAAACAAGTCTAGGAACTCCAACTCCCTTAAAGTACCCAACTCTATACCACATTATAAAGAAAATTGATTAATCACTGATGGCGAATGCATTAATTAATGGAAATTCGAGTTGGATTAATAATAAATTAATCCTACACTCAATCGGCAATCAACTACCTACTATTAATTAATACATACCTTGATCGGTAATTGGTCCACTCAGATCATTTCCACCGAGATACAATGTTTTAATGTTGGGTGCAAGAAGACCAATGTTCTGAAGATTTGTTGTGTTGAAATTATTGCCTGATATATCAAGGACCTCCAGCTTTCTCAACCTTTTGACACCTAAGAGTGAAAACAGAATGTGCCAAAAAAATAAACCCACTCCCTCACGTTGTTCCTCAATTCACCGTTTTCAATAATGCTAACCAAATTTCTCAAATACAAGATGGAATGCTAATCAGATCCGTATTTTAGTGGTAAATTCATCATTAGTATTCTATTAAAATATGCATATTTGTATATTAATAATGTTTTGTAATACAAAAATTTATCTAAAAATAATATACTCATTATTTTATCCTAGACTTATAGAAATCCATGATATAAACATAAAAATTGAACATCAGCAGTCTACGTACCTTCCCAACGAAAGGTCCCGACCATATTATTCCCACGGAGATATAGAAACTTGAGGGATAAGAGGGCTTCCAAGTACGTAAAAATGCTTGTATCGAAGGAATTGTAGCTCAAGTCCAGGACCTCCAGGTTTTTCAATCTATCAAATAAATGCTTAAGGCCTGCAAGGAGTTATTGTTAAATTATTAAGGTCAAAATTAAATGGTGTAATTAGGCATACCTTACTTACCAACTGTATTAAAACGAAAGAAAAAAGAAATATATAGGGTATGTTGCTGAAACCTCCCCTCCCTTGAAGAATTTGGTTGTGGATGAAACTTCTCTTAAATTTAGTAATTACAATCACCTCTCCTGAAATTTTTGATACAGTTGCAAGTAGATCCCCTATGTTATAATCTTCTAAAAAAAAATCGTAAAAATGTCCAAAATACTCATACAGTTACTATTAAGGTTGGTTTTTACGGAAGAAAACAATACAAACTTTATGAACAACGAAAGCAAAGAGGTTTAAAGTTATAATTTTACCTTTGAGTGATTAATATAAAGGGGAATTTAAAAAATAAATCAATTTAGAAAAAGAGATTGGAGGGGTTTGAGGTAGTAATTCATATGAAGAGAAAGATTGAAAAACAGACACCTTTGTTAAAAGTAAACTGCATGGGAGTTTTAGACATTTTCATCTATCTTTTTAAAAAATATTACTAATTTACTTGCAACTATATCAAAAAGTTTAGGAAAAATGATTACAATTACCAGACTTTCGGAAATGTTTCATAAATTTACCAAAAAATATATATATTAATCAAAGCAGAAACTCTGGAAGCAACAAAAAGAAAAATAAGAGTATATGTAACTGCTTCCCATGGAAATGGATCTAGAACAAATAACACATCCATCATTAAAAGAATTCCTGTCCCTCAGCTCGCATGGAATTTAAGGTAACCGTTCTCAATGGTAAATAAATGTAGGGTACATACCTTTGACTGAGTTCGATACAAGTACAACACAACAAAGTTATAAATTAAACATTCAATTGGGCTTACGTACCTTGGAGTCCTAGAGTGCCCTTTAATCCATTCCCACTCAAATCCAACATTCGCAAGTTCTCTAGACCCGCTAATTCTATAAATTTCATATTAATTAAAATTTCAGATATGACAAAAATTAAAGTAATTAATAGAAAGCCTGACCATATATAGCCAAGCCTTATGTAAGAAGGATCTAATTGAGAGTAAAATTAGAATTTCAACATACCTTCAAAAGGAAAAGGGTTTGTGAAATCATTCCTAGAAAGAGACAGATTCTTGAGGGATTTGAGGGCACCCAAAGACGGCAGGATGCTGTTGTCGAAGCCATTATAACTTAAATCCAGGACCTCCAGCTTCTTCAATCTATTCAACGGTTCTAAGTCTGCAAGGATAGTCTTTGTATTACTATTACTTTTCTTTTTTCAAGTATATAAAATTCAAATCCTCTCGTCCTTCCACGGGCGAGTTTTCTGATTTTCTCTTTTTCACGCATTGTTCCAATTGAGGTTTAAAATATTGATACGTATTGTGTTGGGTTCTTTTTGACATGCCCCTACAGGGGTTATATCGGGTCAGGGTCTGGTTCAGAGGATAGCTGGGACTTAAACTGGCCCCTCTGAACCAAAAACACTGATATTGGCTGATACGCCTGCCCTATCACATATGGAGCAGTATCGATACTTTGAACCTTGGTCCAAAACAGTGAAGTTAGTGCATCACTATGTGCTTGACGTTGCTGTTGATCAGTTTTCTATTAAGTTGCAGAGTGGGAAAATTATTGTTGATTGGGATTAGGAAATCGGTTTGTCTTAATCCTATGGACAGGAGACAGAGCCTTGTAGACATGTTTTGGGTGAATACCAAGTTGGACGAAGCGACTGTAGCGACACATGATATGAAAATAACAAAGAATTTTTGTAAGGCTATACAAGATACAAGGATTTGCATTCCTTCAAAACTGAGCTTAAGAAATTTCTGCAGGGCCGAAGATGGCTGGTCTTCACTCTTCACTCTTCACACTTCCGAATGGACTCTTTTGCAGAAACGGGATTGTTTCATTCTCACCGACAACAATTGATTCTCGGCTAATTGACTCTATTTACCGAAAGGGTACTTCACCTGCTGTAAGGGTGGAGAGGGGTTCAGAAATAGAGGTGAAGGGGAATTGCTCTGTTTTGCTTGGAAAGTTGGAAGTCTCCATTAGACGTGACAAAATGGGATTGTATTTGGCTATTATATACTCTGTTTCAGTTTTCTATGTAGCTGATTCTTAGGGATTCTAGTTTTTCAATATATATCCTCCAAGAATAGGATCAAAAACGTGAATTCCATTTTAAATTATGCATAAACTTATTAAAGAAATTTGTACTCTGCAGTCAAAAGAGAAACTGGAAATTATTATATAAACCGAATTTATATAGTTGATGGTAGTACCTATTTTGAATCTGTGATTGGGTATGAAGAGGGTCAGGGCAATACAAATGCAAGATGGTAGAAGAGAAAAAAGGGGGATAATATAATTGGTCATCATCAATTATTAATGCAATACAATGCATGCAGGGTCGATTCATAAAAAATTAAATCTTTTGAGTTTGATGGAACGTCATCATCAAAGGTATAGTTGGTGAGATAAAAAGAAAACATTGAATTGAATTATATATTGTGTTGATGCAATTAATGCAGCTAATTGGGCGTAGGTAGGTAGGTAGGTACCTTGAAGAGTGCCGTAGAATATAGTATTGCCACTCAAATCCAGCATTTGCAAATTTTCCAGACCCGCTAATTCTACAAATTTGACAAAATAAAAGTGAAGTAATTAAGAAAAGAGAGCCTGATGACAATACATTAATTACCATATGGATTTTATATTAAGATGAGTAAAATTAAAGCATATTTACCTTGATAGGGAAAGGGGTTTGTGAAATCATTCCAACCAAGAGACAGATTCTTGAGGGATTTGAGGGCACCCAAAGACCGCATGATGCTGTTGTCGAATTCATTCGAACTTAAATCCAGGACCTCCAGCTTCTTCAATCTACCCAACGCTTCCAAGCCTGTAAGGATATTTTCGGTCTTCCTATTATTATTACTTTTTTCAAGACTAAAATTTTGGAGTCCAAAAGAGCACAGACAGCACCACGAATTTAATATCTTACCTTGATCCTCCACAAAGCCCTTAAAATGGTTGTGTGATAGGTCGAGATGTTGAAGCTCATCAAAATGAAGAAACAAGCTCGCATTTAAACTAATTGAAACTTGATGATGGATGATATTGTAGAGGAAGAGTTTGAATGATTCGGTTGGTGGTGGAATTACACACAACTCGCTCCCAGGCACAACAGTCAGATGAGTTCCGGCCTTTATCATCATCATCATCAACCCAAGATTGGAGATGAGTTGGATCATTCAAGTAAGGTTGGACATGAGCCTTGAATTCTAAAAGGCCATTTCTTTCCTCCTCTAAGCACCCCAGTATCCCATCATCCAACCCAACAACCAAAACCATCAACACCCACAATGCCCACTCCATCCCTTGTTGTAAAGACTTTCAATTGGTGGTAGTATATTAATTCAAGTATCTTATGGGCTACCTCTTTTATATATCCCCAATCTATATGCCCTAAATCTAATCCTTTTTTCCGACTCTGAGAAGGGTAAATCAAAAGGTGACCAAATATAATTGATTAGAGTTAGACGACTACACCAAAATGGTTCTTTCTTTGCTTTTTTCTTCAACGGGTCCACAGGGGCTGAAGACTGTTGACTACTTCCACGGCTCCACCATTTAGAAAATTTTCTCTACTAAGATCTACTTTTTTTTCTTTTCTTTATCTTGTCTTTCCCTCTGGAGGGAGGTATTGCATGTTCCTATTATGTGATTGTTTAATTTTTTTTCTGAAATTTTAAATTACCCTTTTTTAAACATTTTTTTTTCATTTCCTTTTAGTTTGTATTAATTGAATGTTGTAATTCCAGGTTTTGTTTTTTTTTTACAGTTTCTTGAGTGGGTATTTTGGTAAATTAAATTCTTTCATCACTCAACTTAATGGAGAAGGAATCGAATCTGAAAGTTTAGGGATCATGAAAGTTGAGAGGAGTAATTGCCACTATCCTTAATGTATTGTACAGGATAATAATCTATAATTTACCCAAAACTAAAGAATTAAAACATTTCAACATAAACGAATTATGCGATTTTTGGATATCTTGCCCTAGAGATACAACCCCTACAGGCTACAGGCTACAACAACACATACGTATTGACTGGGAAGTAATGAAAAATAGCAATAAACGTTGGTCTATTACTCTATTCATAACAAGGTCAAGGCTGTGGAATTAATTGCAAGCACTCGGGAAATTTCATGCGATTAGACATCTTGGCAACATTAATATGGGCTGTTTAAAGCTTAATTTCTATTTGTATAGCATGATGTTTGGCTGACAGCGTTGGACTCTAATGTCTAATCCTTTGGCCCAAATTGAACCCCGACAACAAAACACAAACGTGACGATCCGGAGGAAATGAGAAATGACTCAAAATGACAATCAATTGATACATTCTTTTGGATAAGATTTTAGGCTTCTAGGTTTGAGTTCGGGTTTTTTCAAAAAAGTTGGGCTCGAATTTAAGTTCAATTTGATAATGCATTATATAATAAAAATATATTTTATATAATATGTACAGTACTTTATTTATTATTTTTCACAGTTTTTCAAGTGATAGATAAAATCTTTTATTATTTTTTAGGTTTTAAGGTCTTTTAATATAAATAAAACAGTTTTTATTAAATAAAAAAAAAATCTTTTTTCAGTTTTCGAGCCAGGCTCGGGCTTGGGCCTAGGCTTTGGATTTTATATAAGGACCGGGCTAGAGTTTTAAGATGTAGCCCTGCCTCAGGCTTGGGCCTGAGTATATTCTATTAATACAGAAACAAAGCCTAGTCTGGCCCGACCAATGAGCAGGTCTACTCGTCACAAAGTTAGAATGGTCTTTAAGTTGGATCAATTATTGGGTGTACTTTTCCACTACCAAACAAGATTATGAAGAAGGGGAAATAACCAAGAAAGAAAGGTTTGCGTGCTTGACTTGCTTGGAAACAACGACTCATCTACCAAGTCTGTGATGGGTCGTTCGATTTTTATTTTTCTGTTTGGATAGGCAAATGATCTTAAAAAATTTAGAGTTCCATGAAATAGCATCATCCACTAGAGGTGGAAATGAATAGTGCTTTCACGAGCTATTTGAGTTTGGCTCATGAAAAACTCACCTGATATATATGTTAGTTTGCTAATCGAGCCAAGCCCGAACCAAGTGAAACATGAAAAAATGAAAATAAAAAATAAATTAAAAGATTGCAACTTTGCAAGAACAAAATGAAAAGAAACATCTTAAAATTTTATTCCATATAAATAATCATTTCATACAATAAAATGAATAAATGAACTTAAAAAATAAGATTGAAATTGGAAAAAGTATTACAATAAAATTGGAAAAATTACAAATAAAATTGAAAATCTCAAAATTTACAATAATATCAAAAATATAGGAGGTTGAATAGTAAATACTAGGAAAATGTTTGTACAGTCATTAAATATTTGTAAAAAAAATCTTTTATACTAATTTTCCTATCCCAATCAAAATTAGTTATTATATTATTTGGCTCTTTCATTATAAATGGTACTATTTTGTATATAACTTTCTAACCTAGCATTGGTACAATTCCACCTATGTTGGACATCTAATCTAATGGAAAAATCTTATAACTTTTACATATTGATGACATAAATTTTCAAAATCTTATTTTCTCAAACCTCAAAACCTATATAAAATACAATTTCTATTTTTTGAACTTCTTGTGAAATAATTTGTAAGCCATCTTGTACACGTAAATTTAAAATATGACAAGTATATTTAATATTAAACAATTTCCTTTTTATAATAAGTTTTACTTTGGATTTTAAAATATTTGTGGCTAGATCGTTATTACTAACATTATCAAAAGAAAATGAAAAAATTTTTACCTTCTATACCATAATTATATATAGTATTTAGAATGCTTGGAGAAAATTCCTGAACAGAATATGAAGGGCAATTTGATTATTTCACTTGGCTGTTGATGGTCAACTAACTACATGGGCGTGCTAGACACAAAATGAAAATTCAGGGTACTGTAAAGACACGTTTGAAAGTTGGGGGACTGAGTAGACATAGCCCCTAAAATTCAAGGTACTATTTAGGAATCTAACCGATAACCGTTTTCCAATTTTTTTTTACTTTTTTGTCAGAGCAGGCCTATCGTTTAAATCGAACGGTCAGACCATTCAAACCGATAACCAAGCCCTTAACCGATTCGGTCACCAGTTCATTTTTAAGAACAATGCTTTTTTCCGACCACAGCAGACTTAATTTCCCAATGGAAATGGAAATGAAACCCGTGAGAGGGTAAATAAAAAAGGTGGCGAAAAATAATTGCAATTTTGTTTAATTAGACGACTTGACTTGAAGCCCGACTACAACACATACGTATTGGACTGGGAAGCAATGAAAAGTAGCAATCAATTGTTGGTCTATTACTCGGGAAATTTCATGCCAGAAACTCTACTGAAGCGTGGTTTACTTCTATTGAGCAAGGACAAAGGACATTGACGCTGTAGAGACAATGCTTTTAGTGATTGTTGTGGTTCCCTCGTCACAGTTATTAAGAAAATTGAAGTATAGTATCCTCTACTTTGGATTTACTCTCATTTTGATTTTCAAATTTCAAAACATGCTAATTCAGTATCTAAGTTTTCAAAACGTATCAATTTACTCCCAGCCGTTAATAGTTCATCAGTTTCTCACGTGATGATATGTATAACTTAATATTTTTGAAAAAATCAAAATTATCCTTCAATACTGTTTATCATTTTCTTTATCAAGAATCAAGATTGAACCAAAGCAATAAATTGGTTTTTGATAAATTATTTTTCTCTATTGGGTGGTTGACAAAGAAAATTAGATAACACCTAAAGTATATTTGTATATATACTTTGACATGTCATTTAATGACAATTAACGATTTTGTACTAAATTAGAACATTTTGAAATTCAGCGACCAAAGTGAAACTAGACCTAAAGTGTAGGATAGTAATCTGTAATTTTCATTACAATTAATAATACTAGCAGTGGTCTATCTTTGAGTCCCTTGGTCTTCACAATAAGACAATAGACATTTAAGGGTCTATGTATCTGATGGAGGCCCATCTCATCATATGGGCGACAGCTCATGGGAAGAATTCAAGATAAGCCAAAGAACTCAAAGAATCCAAGATAATTCAAGAATTC